AAACGTGCTATTCTGATTCATTGTACTTACAGCTACCTAACACCAGTGATCCTCCGTTACCATGTTGATGTATTTACGTTAGGTATACTAGGTATCTATACTGTGTATGTATGTACATTTGTATGTATGTATATATATATATATATAGTTTAGTGCGATTCTGCCCCGATCATGTAATTGCATTTTTTTTTATCAAATATACCTTATACCCGATAAGGATACATTAAATATATACAATGACTATATAAATATAAATAAGTCCGATCCTGCCCCGTTTCTGTCCGTTCCTGTAAATCGTCGCCCGTTTCTGTCCGTTCCTGTAAAGTGTCGCCCGTTCCTGTCCGATCCATATCAATACAATACTCTTAATTCCTTGCAAGTCTTTTATCGAATATATCTTATACCCGATAACAAATATATGATACTATAAATGTAGGTATCATAAGTATAATATCGACATAAATGTATATATATAATTTAGTCCGATTCTGCCTCGATCATGTAATTGCAATCCTTTTATCAAATATACCTTATACCCGATAAGGATAATCAAATATATACAATAAATATATATAAATAAGTCCGATCCTGCCCCGTTTCTGTCCGTTCCTGTAAATCGTCGCCCGTTTCTGTCCGTTCCTGTAAATTGTCGCCCGTTCCTGCCCGATCCATATCAATTCAATACTCCTAATTCCTTGCAATTCTTTTATCAAATATATCTTATACCCGATACAAAATATATGATACTACAAATGTAGGTATCATAAGTAATATCGACATAAATGTATTTATATAATTTAGTCCGATTCTGCCCCGATCATGAAATTGCAATCCTTTTATCAAATATATCTTATACCCGATAATGATACTTAAACATATCTAATATATATATCTTATACCCGATAAAACAATATAATAATATAAATATATATATATATATACAATTTAGTCCGATTCTGCCCCGATCATGTAATTGCATATACTTTTTTTTATCAAATATACCTTATACCCGATAAGGATAATTAAATATATACAATAAATATATATAAATAAGTCCGAACCTGCCCCGATCTTGTAATTGCAATCCTTTTATCAAATATATCTTATACCCGATAATGATACTTAAATGTATCTAGTATATATATTCATTAATGAGACGCTATCTCTGTCTTTTGTTCTATTTTTTATATTCATTAATGTATATAATAATTAATAGATTTCTGCCCGTTCCTGCCCGTTCCTGCACGTTTCTGCCCGTTTTTGCGCGTTCCTGCCCGTTCCTGCCCGTTCCTGTAAATCGTCGAACCCCTTTAAACTGTTGAATCCGGTTTCTTTACAAACATAAAACCGATAGTAATTATGAAGTAGGTTATCTCCCTTAGACTAACACATAACTGTACTAATAGTCCTTAGAAGATCACTTCCATGATATTGAATAACCATCATAATCTAGTTTCTATGTATTCTGCTGTCTATCTAGCGGATGTAGATAGAATCGACTGGTCACAGTCAACGTTGCTATCTCGGAGAATTCAGTCCTGACGACTGGTAACTGTCGTTCTCACTGTTTTCAGTACCCCCACCCATGTCCTGTATTTTATCTAAACTAAAATCTAGACACTCTACGTTCGTACTTATTTATTGTAAAGTCTCCCACTAGTTAGTTTTAAAAATCAACTACCTATGTACAACTAATTTTACACTTCATGTAACTTCCCAGTCAACCTGTCATGAGGAGGTCTACATAGCATACCCGTACCACCTGTATAGTTACTGAGGATACCAAACCCTGGGTCTACCTTTAGATACTCTATCTGTCTGACAATGTCCCTTCCTATCTAGTATCAACATCAGTGTCGAACACAAACATACCCGTACCACCTGTATAGTTACGGAGGATACCAAACCCTGGGTCTACCTATAGCTACTCTATCTGTCTGACAATGTCCCTTCCTATCTAGTATCAACATCAGTGTCGAACACAAGCACATCTACTAGTATTTTGTAGCGTAACGGATCAGACATAACGGTACCAATTATAGTCATCGCTATCAGTCCTGTCAAAAGCATGACTATCATTAGTTGGATGAGCGTAGCATGGTGGTGTTTTATCGTAATTAGGCTAGTATCCTCACGTGAATTTTTTTCCAATAACGAGACATCCTTCAAGTCATGTTCTCCCTCAAAACTTTGACTATAGTCTATTTGAATTTTAAAGTTGTTTGGGAGTTTATTTTCAGGATGCTCACCTAACTCTGTGTATTTCAAACTCTCAACATTAGTTACCGTATCCACAGTACTAATTACCGCATCTGGATCTGTACAAACACCTCCTGATGGTGCTATGTCAATAACAGAGAGTATTACCTTAACACTGACTGTTATGTATCTTTCTGCTTAACTGAACTTTTTTCTGAGAGGTTACTAAGATTTCGTTTTGAAGCTGAATTTCACTCTCATATTTCACTAAGAAATCAATCCCTAGTAAACCTGATAGGTTATCTACAGCTGACACTACAAAGGTTTGTTCAAACTTATATGGTCCCATTTCAAAAACTTAAGGAATATATCCCTTAACATCAAGTTGGTTTCCATTTGCTGTTATGAGATTTGGTCCAAATCCCTGTAGCGACTGTTGGTCTAATCCCAATTTTACAAACTCCCTATAGGAGAGAACAGAAACAGGAGACCCAGTATCTACCAGCATCCTACACGTTACATTGTGCACCTGCACATCTGTATACAGATAACCTATGCCTGAAGATACATTATGTGAACTTAGTCGAAACTGGGTTTTCTCCCCTTTGTTTAACTCTGTTTTAGGCCTAGATATACATATTGTGTGTATTGTATCCTGATAGACTGGTATCTCGGCCACAACCCTAGCCTTCTTTAGTTTTCTGACCTACTTAGTTTTTCTTCTAAGTCCCTTAAATTATTAAGTCTGGTACATTCCCTCATATAATGATCCTCTTCTTTAAAAAACAAACAAGCCCCCTTTTTGTCTGAAGTCCTGTTTTTACTATCTTTCCTTCCTTTTCTAGGTTCCGCTAACTTGTTGTCCAGTAGCTTACTTATTTGCTCTATTGTTAATATCTGACTCCCTTAGCTATCAGATTGGGTTATGGAACAGACTTTTTCAGAGGTTTCCACGTGTTTCTGTGGACTACTCCCTGCTACAGCCTCGTACTCTACAGCGGAGGAAATAGCCTCTTCTGGTGTTTAAGGATGGCTAAATGCTACCTTCTTTTTCATCTCAAAGTTATTTAGACCGTTTATGAACTGATCTGTTACTTGACACTCTAGGTAATGACAGGGTAAACCTGGGTAAGCTAGTAATGATGTTCTTCGTAGAGAATACCCAAAGTCTGGAGCTGACTCGCCTTTACTCTGCTTTTGTTCCCTCATTGTACACCTATGTGCCACACTCATTTCCTTAGAATTGAATCTCTAAGTGAGACATTGTCTAATTGAGTTATAATCAGATAACTGCCCTACCGTTAGATTGCTTAACAGCTTTTGGGCTGTGTCCCTTAAACTCATACTTAATTGTTGGGATTTTTCTGTGTCCGTCCAAGCATTCCAGGCAGCTACCTGTTTAAAGTGAACAAGATAGTCTTGCCAGTCACTGCTAGTACCGTTAAATGTATCTGGATGTTTTTCTCTTCTATGCACCCTCAATCCTGACAAATTTTGATTAGATAGAACGTTTATGCTCTGAGGAGTGTCAGTAATCTGTCCATCTAACTCCCTGTGGCTATCATTGATACTTGAAATTTGTGGGATGGTGTGTGAGGCAGGTGCTGCCCCCGACACCTTACGTCTGACCTGTCTCCTATTTTTATGTCTAACCAAATGTGGTTCATTATCCTCAGTATCCCCCTCATACTGTTCTGACCTTTCCCTCTCAGTACTATAAACTTTCTGTTTAATCGCGGGTTTAACATCCTCCCCTTTTTCCTGTCTTAACTTTCATAGTTTTAGGGGTAAAATGTACAGCAGACTGTCTTAACCTTCTTCTTACTACCACCCTTTTTATTTCATCCTCTGTATTTTCATCTTCCTCTGTTTCTGAGCTGGGTGGCGATTCTAAGGTAACTACCTCCCTACTACCCACACCTTTACGCTTAGGAAACGATATGATATCTTGACTGAGGATAAATGGCTCTAAATCATTTTCTGGAGCCCTCTTTGGTGTTGATGTAAATCTATCTGAAGGTGTTTGTACTACAGTCTCTACAAACTCTTCCTCCCAAACAGATTTAGTAATATCCGACTCACTGGAGTATTTATTAGTCTCCATGTTCACCAAAAGTGTCTATATATACCTGACTAATTGTAAAACCACAATTGTTAAACCCTTTTTAGTCGTATACCAAACTACACTTTTTAAACAATCACCAAGCAATATAAATTCTCCTTCTTACGTCTATCCATAGGAGCCTGAAGTTCTGTCAATAATGAATAATAATAGTAATACAAAAAAAATACCCCTAATATGCTTAAAAAATAGACAGGAGTGCAACGGCAGATTTACCCCTCTTCGTTTTCAACGAAGTTTTCTCGCCCATAACTGAAAAATTCCACAGAAACCAAAACTCCTATGCAGTCTAGGATGACTACTAATGTACACTACAGATCGTTTTGTGGAACAACATGCTTGCTGACCTGTTACATAGCCCGTTTTTTAGAATTCTCCTTTCAGCGCCCACTGACACGGAATCCATGCGGTGAATCCGTTTCCGGTCGTACGGAGTGAATATACAGGTAATTATTGTAATATGTTTTCTACTCGAAATTAAATATAAACCAACAATAGTAGGTACTTTTAACTTTTTTTAAAAATAACTGCACATTCAATTTAATTAACAAATGTACATTAGAGTTGTGTATCATTCTATTTAGAAACATTATTAATCAGGGGCAGATAACTCTAATACCCGTTTAGTTCCGTTGCGGGAAATTCAAATTTCAAAGTATCGGGAAGATTTTAAAACATTTCAGAAGCCGTCAACATGAGTGACAAGCATCTTGATGTTGCCTTGTGGTATGTTTTTAACTGAAAAGTAGAATTAGACCATGAAATGGGAAACAGTTTTTAAAAAAAACGAGAAAACATAGCGTTTTTCAGTCAATAATTTATTTAGCAGATCAGTTCTGTGACTGGAGTACTTTACATTTCTGATATTTCTATTTGTTACTCTTGTTAATATTATAAACATTATATTTGACTCCTATGGAGTTACAGTGCCCACTGCTCAGTGAAAAAAAAATCAAAAAGAAAGAGTACACTATATTTTACAGAATATATTAAAATAAAGACAGGAAGGGGTTATATGTGGTAGATACATATTCAACCAAATCTGACATAGTTTATAGTTATGTTAGGCAGTTGAACAACCTGATAATCTCATCAAGCATAAAATATCATTTGTGATCCTTTTATGACTGGTGTATTTGTAACAAAAAAAACCCAGAAAAGACATATATGTAGAGCCAATACTCAACTACAACCAATGTCGCATCAATACAAAATCTTAATACAAATTTATATTCAATCATGCATGGACCCCCATTCTTGTTTAGCCCATAACTGTGATTTTCATTCAACCTTTGACCTAAACTGGACACAGTAGAATCTATGAGTTTACAAAAAAAACAAAGAAATATAAATGACATGTATTTCTTACACTTAATTCTTTTTACTTTTTTTCCCCCTGCCTTTTCCCTTGCCTTTCCCCTTAAAGCAGTTTGGACAATACCACTTAGCATTTTTTCTTTTCAAGAAAGTTTCAGTTCCTTCAATGTCAACACATTTATAGTGACACCAGCAATTGCACGTGTCACAGGCAATGCTCTCATCCCCAATCTCTGCCGGATCCCAGTCACAAATTTCATTACATAAATGACAAATGTATGATGCCTGTTCTGTATTTATTTCCTCAAGTTTTTGTTTTTTGGGATTTTTTTTCTCGCCAAGAGCAGTGAGTTTGACCCTAAACGCTTGTTTTTTCTTCCTTGGCACAGTTGCTTTAAAGTTTTTCAAGGCCTCTGCTATGGACACTTTCAAGAAATATTCTGTAATGTCTTTGTACAGCTCCATAACTAAATTCAAGAATATTTCATCTTCCATTTGTGTGTCATCGATTTCCCCAAACAAATCTATCCATTTGTCGAGAAGAAGGTCACTGGCATCAACTGCAGACCTACAATTCAGGTGAATGTTGTCAAAATGCAGATGAAATTGAGCCACGGTTATTGTGCTTTGCACCACATCATGGAGTTTAATGAAGAAATTAAACACATCATCACTGACAACATATAATCCATGTGACAACCCTTGTTTGAAATCTATCTCTGCCATGCTGGGTTCTGAATCGTCAACTTCACTCTCATTTATTCTGAAGGTTTTCAGCATTCGTTGTTTCCTGTAGTCCAATTTCCTACTTATTTTGCTCTTGGCTGTGCATTGACTTAGTTTTGATACAACCGACTTTTGCAGCCTTGTCCCAATTTTGTTAACACATGCACCAGCAATATATCTAATTTTTCCTTTGGCAGCTTGTGAAAGTTGAGGAGGTGGGGTCTCCTGATGCAGTTCCTCTTCCTGTGTTTGTTGCACTTTTTTGGCCTCATTTTCAATTAGTTTGTCCATGAGCCAGAAAGCCAGTTTGGAAGAGAGCTTGTTGTTTTCTTTTGTAATTGTGTCCACAGAAAAGAGTGTTTTGATGCTGGTGATGTGGTTGTCACTCACTAAGAAATTGTTCAGTTGATCGAAAGCTGTGGTCCACTTCTGTCTTGTTTTTGGACTTTCTTTTAAGATGTCAGTAATTATTTCATAAATCCAGTTCATGTGACCTTTTAATTTCTTGATTACATCTGATTGAATATTGTACGTGAATTTAGCATCTTTGTTGTGAAGGAAAAACTCTTCCAGGCTAAATGGGGATTCAACTGTTGATTTTGGTGTTGCTTCTGCAGGTAACTCAGATGGACCTGGTTCCTCTGGATCAGTCTCATAGGTCTGTGACGAGCTGGGTTCAGTGTCCAGAGGTAATAGATCCTCACACACAATATCAGCCCAACAACAGTCATCTACGCGGTTTTGGAATTGTTCTACATTATCGTAAAAGTCATAAACACACTGAGGATGTTTGAGGTTGGCTGCTTTTTTGTTAAAGTTCCTGATACACAACCCAGTTTTGTTTCTAGCTCTGCCAACAGCAACACCCATCTGTCCCGGTGCAAAAAAAGAATAACAGTCAATTTCAAGTTTTTCTATTGTCTGACCTTGGGCTCTATGAACTGTCAACGCAAATGCCAGCATGAGTGGAATTTGTCTTCGCGACGCCAACGATTTTTGCTGTTGTGCATCAAAAACATCAAATCTTACAGGACTCACTGTGATCATTCGTCCATGGAAATCAATAATAGGTAGATTTTCCTTCGATATACTGTGGACTTTTCCTCTCATTCCATTGAATAGACCGTTTCCAATATTTTTCAAAAGAATGACTGGAGCACATATCTTTACAGTCAGTGTTTTAGGAACCGCATTTCCTCGTAAAAGCTTCAGATAACCTGAAAGAATACATATATATACATGAATATAAAATGATCAGGAAAAAATGAAATCAACAAAACTTAAACAAGAGACCCAGGGGACCTGTATCTGTCACCTGAACACATATAACTGGAGGTAAAAACAAATAGGCTAAGGATGTTCAAATTAGCCCTTTGTCTTTATTTTTTTCAATAATCACTATATTCCAGCTTACTATTGTTGCTAAAAAACACATTTAAATACTTTAGACCTTTATAGATGTTTTACAAAATGTTCAAAACTTTTCACATGGTTATCCACTTCAAACTATTATTTGATATTTGAAGATCAATAATTTGAGAAACTTCACCCCAGGAAGGTACTGGTAATTAAGTACAAACCTTCATCTTTGGCTTTGAACACATGCATTTCTCCTTCCATATCCTCCAACATTTCTTGGTTCACAAAGCTGGCATCAAAGTTTGTTCCAAAAAGCTCACAATTTCTGTATGATCATCACCAGGGTCCAGGGGTCTGTCAAGACTTTTCATCAGCTGCAGTGTTTCAGCTGATGGAGAACCGTTACATAACTCATTTACAGCTTTGATTAAGTCTTCCTCATGTTGTCTCATTACCTGTGAACAAATGAACAAAGGAATTACAAAATCATCTATGCAAGCTAAGAAGCCATTAGCTTTAACATTTACCTTGTAAATACATGTACATACTTGCATGCTTCGTCACTATAACATGCATTACAGGGATCATTTTCCATGTATTAATTTAAGAGAAGCGGCCTGCCATGCAACCTGGCTACCTTCCACTCATAAACTAATCAATTAATGTCCTTAGCTGCTCTCAGAAGAGGTTGTTGGGTGTATCAATAAAATGGAATACTGTGGCATTGAATATGGTTCAAGGCTTATTTCTTAAAAAAGAAGAAGAAATATAGCACTATATCAAACCAAGCTATTTGCCATATATAATATTGCCAAAATGCGAAATATAATGACTAGGCATTTTTGTTTGAGTATTTCACAAGATATGACCCCATGACCTTAAAATATGGTTCAAGGTCATTTGTTTCCAATAAGACCTTTTTGGGGGGTTTTCTTTGCAAGTTTTCAGTTTTGTAGTACATGTATATGCTATATAACAAATTCAAGAATCCTCAGATAGCTGATGTGTGAAAAGATTTTTATAGATTGATACTTCCTACAAAATTTGGTTGAAGTTGGCTTCATAGTTTTTGAGGAGAAATGGTTAAAATAAAGTTTCAGACAGATGATGGATGGCAATAGATTGCAAAAGCTCACTTGGGCTTTGGTGAAGTAAAAATGTATAACAAAATTACACATACCTTGGGTAAGTTAATATGATGATGAAATGTTTGCTGGAAAATCTCACTTTCGAAACAGTATTTCCCTTCATCCCCTAATCTGTAGTTTGGAACAGGAGGAAGTTGCTTAAAATCCCCAGACACTAAAACCTGAAAAATATTATAAATGAAAAATTACAATATTGAAACAAAATATTAAAAAGTTGCTTTCATTAAGGGGTTATTTACAAATTTGATAATAAAACATACAGGAAGGACCTTTGAGCCCACCATTGTAAATTAATCATTAGTACTATGTAAATTTGATATTATCGCTTATCTGTTGGATGGAGTTATGTCAACAGTATTAAAATAATGTATTATTGTAACAATTCATCACAATAGTTGTTTAAGTATGAATGGACAGACAGACCACACATAGAGGGAGATTTGATGATGGCGGGACAAAAATGCATATTGGTAATATTTGTAGACATGATTTTGACAAACAAATTACCAGTCATGGCTCATTTTTGCTAGAGAAATAATTACCTGAATACCCCCGAAGGCTTGATTATTTTTCTTAACAAGCCGACATACAGACTCCACCATGTTGAAAATTTTGGCTGACAACATGCTTATTTCATCAATGATTAAGCATTTGGTGATCTGTATCCGTTTTTTGGCTTCTGAGTAGCTGTCGTCATTGTCAAATAACTCTTGAAGTTTTTCAATGGAGTGTCTCCCATCTAAAATCCCGGCCCAGTGGTGTAAGGTTGTTGCATTGGATCCTAGATGGAGACTGGCCATTCCCGTTGTTGCAGTTACAGCAACATTTTTGCTGTCTTCTTTTTGGATAATCTCTTGTAAAATCTTCCTATAACACAAATATAAACAAAACATTAGATATCCAAATTTTGTGAATTTCTCCTGAATTCGATCTCTATCATATAACAATACATTCCTCTTAATATCATATGTCATTTATCAGAAGAAAATGTGATATAAAACAAACAAAATGTGCCATTAACAGAATACTTTTTTACCAATTATTATTCCGGCCTTCATCGAAACTCGAAAGTATGCTGTTTGAATTTATTATACATATTATAAATTATTTTCTCTACAGGTTGGCAATTCACTTCCAACGAACAGATGACAGCAAAAAGTTTGTGCGGCTGAATCGGATGTATGATGTGTGTACGCAATTCTACAGAGATAACAACGTCTGTCCACCAACTCAAGTACTGCTATCAAGACTAGTTCAAGTCATCTTTGATGTGAAGTCAACATTTTTGTACGAGAAAGGAAAACGACACATTATTTTCACATCTATAATGGAGCGTCCAAGAAGTGTTGAAAAAGTGGTTTTACCAGATTTTTGTGAAATGTCTCAAACAAACAATAACTTTGTGGAAGTCAAGTGTCCCTTTAACACCATTATAAATGGAAGCCTGCAGTATTGTATTCTTTCTTTAGGAGAAACTGCAAAAATTACTATACGTAATAAAGTTTTCAGCATGGGCTATCGTTTGAATTTTGACCAGGAAACTATTAATGGTTTTGTTTTACTTGCCCAAACTGTGTCTATGTGCCAAGGATCATACATCAGTGAACAACGCCCCTGTGATGTCATAAAGGAAACTTGGAGCTATGTTCATGATGAAAACTCCATGAAAACCATCTACAGGTCAAAGTCATGCAGAGTGATTTTACCATTGTGTGCAAAAAATGAACACTGTGAAAGATGCATAAATTATGAAGTTATTAGTAGATCAAGAAAGCGGAAAAAGATGGAAAACAACATGAATGATTCCAAAACCGATAAAAAGGCAAAAGTCACTCCAAGTGATCCTAATAATTTAAACAAAAATGGACATGAACAGAATGACTTGGATGAATCCAATATGACATGTATCAACCTCTCTGAACCTGATCATAATGACATGGTGAAAATTATTGAAAACATATCTTCATCAGAAACAACACCAGAACATCTCAAAGTCTTATTACTAGCCCAACTNAACCAGGTACAGTACACTATGCGTATTGCGCTACAATGTATATAGCTGTAAAGACCTACCTGTATATTTCCAAAGATTTCATACTTCACTTCGAAAAGCATACAGTAAAAAGTATAATTTATTTTCACAAATGTAAAATTACATATATTTTTATGCTTTTTTCAGTTCAGGTAGTGTTAAAATGATATTTTAAATGCAAACGATTTTTTTTTGTCTTTTAGAACGAAAATCATGTCAAAATAGCTCTAAAACCCTATTTCAGATGGGTTGATGGAGCTGGTATTGGCGTCTGCTTGATTATATTTACCAAATTACTAGGTAGTAAACACAGGAGCCTGAAGTTCTTTCAAAAATTAATAATATTAAACAGAAATAGAAAAAAATACCTAGCATATTATAGTATTTTTGTATTACTGTTATTATTAATTTTTGACAGAACTTCAGGCTCCTATGGTAGTAAAGCGGACGTAAAACCACTCAAGCAAACAAACAAACAAATGGTATAGGTCTTTACAACTATATAGCTCAATCGGCAGTGTAATGGGCCTGATAAGCATTGACAGTTTCCCTGCAAAAAGCATTGACAGATTTCCCTCCAAAAAACATGTGCCTGTTATTTTCTCACATACAAATTAAACTAACTCGCATTTATTATTCATGTGTCTGATCTTNTAATTCTACTTTTCAGTTAAAAACATACCACAAGGCAACATCAAGATGCTTGTCACTCATGTTGACGGCTTCTGAAATGTTTTAAAATCTTCCCGATACTTTGAAATTTGAATTTCCCGCAACGGAACTAAACGGGTATTAGAGTTATCTGCCCCTGATTAATAATGTTTCTAAATAGAATGATACACAACTCTAATGTACATTTGTTAATTAAATTGAATGTGCAGTTATTTTTAAAAAAAGTTAAAAGTACCTACTATTGTTGGTTTATATTTAATTTCGAGTAGAAAACATATTACAATAATTACCTGTATATTCACTCCGTACGACCGGAAACGGATTCACCGCATGGATTCCGTGTCAGTGGGCGCTGAAAGGAGAATTCTAAAAAACGGGCTATGTAACAGGTCAGCAAGCATGTTGTTCCACAAAACGATCTGTAGTGTACATTAGTAGTCATCCTAGACTGCATAGGAGTTTTGGTTTCTGTGGAATTTTTCAGTTTTGGGCGAGAAAACTTCGTTGAAAACGAAGAGGGGTAAATCTGCCGTTGCACTCCTGTCTATTTTTTAAGCATATTAGGGGTATTTTTTGTGTATTACTATTATTATTCATTATTGACAGAACTTCAGGCTCCTATGGTCTATCACAAACCTGAAGGGCTAATAATTCAATAATTTAAAAAGAAAACCGGTGTAGTATGGTAATATGAAGGCCATGGTGAAATGAACCGCGGTTCATATTTACCATTATGGTAATATGAACCACCCCATGGTGAAATGAACGATTGCTATTCTGACAACTTTTTTTCAATTCTTTTTCTTAAAATTTACTTCAATTTGATGTATTCTATCTGAAATGACAAAAATTAAGTCAGGGGTAAAACAAATTAGGGTGGGGCAGGGGCGCTTCACTTTACCATAATGGTGAAATGAAGGGTTTCAGCATTTTTTTCTATTTGACTTTTTTAAACCAAATCTGTTTTACTTTACATCAGTTTGATGTCCTGAATATAAAAATCACAGAAATTAAGTCTGGGGTAGAGAAAATCAGGGTGGGGCAGGGGCCCTTCACTTTACCATAATGGTGAAATGAAAGATTTTAGCAATTTTGATTTATTTAATTTTTTTAAACCAAATCTGGTTTAGATTACAACAGTTTGATGTCCTGAATATGAAAATCACAGTAATTAGGTCTTGGGTAGAGATATTTAGGGTGGGGCAAGGGACCTTCACTTTACCATAATGGTGAAATGAAGGGTTTTAGCATATATTGTTTTCTATTTGACTTTTTTAAACCAATTCTGGTTTAGATTACATCAGTTTGATGTCCTGAATATGAAAATCACAAAAATTAAGTCTGGGGTAGAAAAAATCAGAGTGGAGTAGGGGCGCTTCACTTTACCATAATGGTGAAATGAAGGGTTTTAGCATTTTTTTCTATTTGACTTTTTAAACCAAAACTGTTTTACTTCACATCAGTTTTATGTCTTGAATATGAAAATCACAAAATTATGTCTGGGGTAGAGAAAATCAGGGTGGGGCAGGGGCCCTGCACTTTACCATATTGGTGAAATTAAGGATTTTAACAATTTTGATTTATTTGACTTTTTTAAACCAAATCTGTTTTACTTTACATTAGTGTGATGTCCTGAATATGAAAATAAAAAAATAAATATCTCTAGGGTAGAGAAAATCAGGGTGGGGCAGGGGCCCTTAACTTTACCATAATGGTAAAATGTCAATCTGATGTAGAATTCAAGGTCAGGAATGTTTGGTAAATATTGACATAAAATAAACACAAAGTTAAAACCAAAACAGTCTGATGAATTATTTATTGAATATATTATATTATGATATTCGCTCATCATAAAAGTAATGATTGTCTGACAAATTCTAAGATAGAAATAACAAAACAAAAACAAACTCTTTCACACTTATACTTTGATATTTATTCTAGAATAAATATAAATTCACACAAAACAACACTTATACTTTGATATTTATTCTAAAATAAATATAAATTCACACAAAACAACACTTATACTTTGGTATTCATTCTACAACAAATATAAATTCACACAAAACAACACTTATACTTTGATATTTAGTCTAGAATAAATATAAATTCAAACAAAACAACACTTATACTTTGGTGTTCATTCTACAATAAATATAAATTCATACAAAACAACACTTATACTTTGGTGTTCATTCTACAATAAATATAAATTCATACAAAACAACACTTATACTTTGGTATTCATTCTACAACAAATATAAATTCACACAAAACAACACTTATACTTGGTATTCATTCTACAATAAATATAAATTCACACAAAACAACACGTATACTTTGGTATTCATTCGACAATAAATATTAATACAAAAAAAAAAGTTTTCATCCCTTTGACATACAAATACACAGATTCCTGTACAAGGATTTTTCTACAAGGGGCTATAACGCTGTTAAAAAAAGGTTGGAATGTAGAAATACTACTTCCTAGATGCACAATGTCAACTATTGTTATAATCGACCCAGTATCTTAGGAGAAGCTGTATGGACGATTAGACCAGAGTTTTTAGAAGAGTTGTCAGGACAATAGTTTTTCAACAAAGGGCAACAACTCCATAAAAAGGGGTCTGAATGATTTTTTTGTTATCAGATTTAGACACATTCACAATTCAGCATGGATCAGTCGTTCTCTTACAAAAACTCTGTAGTTGTTAACATGACATTGTCTTATCACCAACGGATTTCTCCTTGCAAAAACTGCAGCTGCATTCTGAAATAATTCAAGAGTGAATTAATATAACAATTTAACTGATATAATATATACAAATTATTCTATGTAGATATGTAAGACCAATTTAACTTAAGCTGCAGGAGATTAAGATTTCACAGCATTTTGCTTCTCAGAACAACATTAAAACAAATATATGAACATATTGTAGCTATAGAAATTGATAAGTATCATAATTATTATAATCTTTAAATCAAATGTTTCCCTAAATATAAAATTGTACTTTGAATCTTTTTCATTATATTAACTTAACTTGTGTCCAGTTTTCCAATAAAAACAGTTGGTATTTAAGTACTTTTTATTTTTCACTTAGTTCCACTTAAGTTTATGTCGTACCATCATGACAAAGACTACACATGAATGACCGTCGTCTTGCCTCGAGCAAGGAGACTCCATCAAAGTGCACTCCTGTGGTGCCATTCCAAGAGCTTGACCACGAGCAATGAGGAATTGCCTAAATTTATGAAACTATGTATTAGCTAATCATTTTATTTCTGTCTTAACAAATAAATAAAACATTGCTTTTAAATGAAAATTATTATTAGTTAAAAGAAAAAAAAGTATACAGAAAAGAAAGTATGAACATATAGACATGTGTATATTTTTGAAAGACAGGTGAATATATCTAAATATTTTATGAAAACAAAACGAGTGAAAACAGGAAATGCATTTACCAAAGAAGTTAAAACATAACTGATGCATCAAAAATTGTAGTCATGACATTTGCAGAGACCAAAAATATCAATGAGATGACAAAACAGTACTTCAAAGACACTTAATCATGCGGGACATTAATTTTATAATGGAATTGCTATCACTGGTGTTCAATCTTAAGAAAATAGTTCAAAACAACACATCTTATTCTAAGAAATTATGAATCTTTTTAAACATTATAATAATAATTTCCATGCTGATGCCATGGAAATTTAATTACTTACCTCCAATGTTTTGCAAACATGTTTGATCTCTCAATACTATGTAGCGAATCATAGATGTACAGTTCCTGTTGTTTGGGTTTGGCGATCATAAGGAACCAGTGGTCCTTATGACATACAGGCAGGAGTATAGTCTCGTAAATATGGAATTGAACATGATATAAATAAATTTGGTTTAGTTTTTAAAAAAACTTATTTTAAGCTATCATTATGAAATATTGTATACAAAACTTGAAGATTATGAACTAGGAATTGTGGGTTGGTGCTTTGTTTAAATATATGTGAGCTAAAAATAAAACTTACTGATTTTGTGATGATAAATATAAAGAAATTAGTTTTAGAGTGGCTTCAGCTCTATTGGTCTTCATCTTTTTTCTTTTCTTTTTTTGTGAAGGAACTTAAAGAAAAATCTCAGAATCTCTTTGCTGTTCTTTTCTATAAATAAATGTCACATGACTATTTAAGTGGTACTCAAGCCCTTATTTCACGTTTGTACGGTAATTTCTTTTCATTAAAGCACCATTTGAACTTGTTAATTGAAACTTCACCTTATGGAATGTCCATGTTTGGTAGTCATTGTGGCTCCATTTGGTTGCCAGGAAGCAGGGCAGAATGAGGCTTTCATGGTTGTTCTCCTGTTTCTGTTCCCAACTTAGAACTGCCAAGAAGGAGTGTATCACCCGAACAAAAAGGATTGAGAGTTCATCCGTTTTTATTATTTGGAAAATGAAATAAGAGTGTCATATTTGATCTAGGAATGAAATAAGATTGTCATATTTGGTCTAGGAATTGTATAAAAATCATGAAATACTGTTGCATTGTTTTTATCAAATAATAAATTACAGTATTAAATATGGTATTAATTGTTTAATCCTGAGATAATTCAGCCATTAAGTAAGATATCAAAGTAAAACAGGAATATCTGATATTTGAAGACCACGGTTGTAATCAAAAGGTTGAAACTATATGAGTTATGAAATAAAGTAATCCATTTTTAATAGATAGGTTCGATTACACATTTTTATGTTGTGTTTTTCTTAAATTCATTTGTAAATCAAAGTGAAAAAGGTTATTAAGAAATCCATTAAATTATGAAAATGTGCATTATATTATTTGTGTAATGTGTTTGTTTAATTTTAAAACATGTTCAGACAGATTTACAACTCCTCAATAGATTTATCAATTGATATGTATATCTGTGTATTAATGAAAACCGTTCAAACCATTAAAATAAAGAATAATAGTACTTTTCACTCGGTATGGTGGTCACCTACACTATGTGCTTATGGGACCAAATGTGATTATTATTTAAGCAAAAAGCATGTATTTTAGCAAACTGATTACAACTTTATGAGTGATTTGATCTACGCATGGAGATTTTATCATTATATTTGGTTTTCAAATTACAATCTTTCATGTCACATTTGTTCTTACCTGGCCATTGACCCATTTCCTTGGTGCTAAGGTTTTGAAATCTTCCTTTGTTAGCTGCGTAGTCCCTATTCCTAACCGTCCACGGGTCAATCTCGATAGAAGTGGCATTTTTCGTTTTAGCTTTGGTGTAGTTAAAGGCAGTGTTTTAAGTGTATCTATGACCGAATCTGGATCTGACTTTTGATTGAGGCACTCAAGCACAACTGAAGAAGCAACCATCAGTCCTGGCACCACATCATATGGGCTGATAATAGCAAATCCCAAGAGGACAGGTGTGTCCAGTTTCTTTCAAGACTATCACCACGATAGTCTTGAAAGAAACTGGACACACCTGTCCTCTTGGGATTGTTGCTGATGTTTCAAATACAAAGACGGTGTTGGCGATTGGCCTGATTCTAAAACCATACTAGAAATGTTGTTTGGTTTGAGCAGATGATACGATGAGCATCTCTTGATGAGGTCTTTGATCTGGGAGTGTGGCATCTCGTTGAGGAAAGTGATCAAAGGGGTGTCTGTCTTTTCATCTTTCCTTATGAATCTATTCTGCTGGGGAGGGTCTTTACTGCAGGTTTCTTGTTGATACTGGGTTCTGTCTTTCTGGAGTTTATCTGGTCTGGAGTCTTTTTGGGGGTATTTGGAGGTTTTTTTGTGGGAATCTTTCTGTCTGATATCATGCAGAGTGTGATTTGGCTTCTTCATTTTTCCCTTTTCTCTTGTCTTTTCACTTGAAGGGATCTTGATGGAGGTTTTTAAGGATCGTTTAGCGGTGACCCTTTCCTGCTCTGAATTTCCGCGGAAAGAAGGCAGCGAACGTGATGGTTTTCCGCAGGCAGGGATCCTGGTTTTGATGTTGATCAGTGGTACAAGACTTTTCCCACTGGCAGCAACCATGGTAGGTGTATTTGTAGGTATCTTGGGAGACTTCTTAGGTGTGATGTACTTGCGCAAGTTTTGAATGTTCTGTGAAGCCTTCCTGCCTTCTAGCTTATACACACCTTTTCCTTTTAACTTCAATCACTTTGTATTGTCCAGTAAACTCTTGGCCATCTTGTCTCCTTTTCTGTTGTGCCTTTTTGGATTTTTTATGAGAACTTGATCACCTAGCTGAAGTGGCATTTTCTTCTGATTTCTGTCATAATATGTCTTCTGCTTCCTCTGAGCATCAGCTATGGAAGATATGGCCTTTTCTCTGACTTTTAAGAGTTGGACAAATTATGTTGTTCTGTCTGTGATCACTTCTTCCCAGTCTTCATTTGACAAGGTGTCTGACGGTTCACCCAATGATGTGGGGATGTCCAGTTGAATTGGAAGAACAGCCGTTCTAACTAGTAAAAAGGAGTCTGTTTTGTAGAGCGTTGGACGCAAGTTCTTGTAGCAAATGCAACCATTTGTAGATATTTGTCCCAGTTGTTCTGCTCTTCATTCACATATTTTACTAATGAATCACAAAGTGTCTTGTTATAGCGTTCTGTTAAACCATTGATCTGGGGATGGTAGGCTGCTGTCACTTTGTGGTCTATGTTTAAACGCTGGCACAACTGCATTACAAAATTCCCTGCCTTGGTCTGTAAGTATTGTTTTTGGCGTTCCATCACGGCAGATGATCTCTGTTATGATCTCTGCTATCTGTACTGCTGACTTGTCTGGGATTGCCTTAACTTCTGGCCATTTTGTAAAATACTCCCTCAGTACAGCTATGTATTTGTTGCCATTCTCTGTCTCATGCAGAGGTCCAACTAAATCCATGCCAACCATAGCCAATGCTTCGTCTTTGACCTGAGTCGGATGGAGTGGTGCAGAGATCTTTCTCAAGTTGTTCTGACGCTGACATTCATCACAACATCTGATGAATTCTCTGATGTCACTGGTCATACCAGGCCAAAAGTATCTTTCTGCAATTTTTTTCCCAGTTCTATTTACTCCTTGATGACCCGATGGATTGCTGGAATGGCATCCTCTTAAAATTGCATCCTGATAATGTTCCTTAATAACTCTTAAGGCACCAAGTGATCTATGATTGAAGAAAAGTGTGCCATCTTCAAGGAAATAAGGCTTAATTTTCCTTCTGAAGTTGTTCTTTCCATTTTTGGAATTAACCTAAAAAGTAAATAAGAACCCTTATCAAGAGAGAAACATAAAATATCCTGAGAATACATTTCCTCAACATATGGTGATATTTAAGCAATCATAGCAATATTATCATTAAGGATGTACTCTTCTGAGGTTTCAATCACGTTCAAGTCTCGTTTTGATCTGGTGTAACGGGTTTTTGTAATATTTAACAAATTATGATCAAGTTTATTAGCAAACACGCATCTGAAAAATATGTCAAAAAACTAGATGTCTGTTGCTTGTAGAACTGTTTTTTACAAGAATTTCGAAAAAATACCAATTCGGCGTCCATTTTGAAAATGAGTATAAATGTGTATTTCTTGGGCTACAAAAAAGGCAAAAGATTCACCTTTTTTGACACTAGATTGATCACTTAAGTTGTCATTCTGTCGTCATTTTTAATAATAGCAGGTTCAATTTTGCTGTACAACTTTATAATGTTTAATATGATAAAAATAATATGCAACAAACTGGAAAATTATACATTATTGATATTTTTTTTACATATTTTGTGTAACTGAAGCACTTTTGATTTTTGACCCCGAAAAAGGTAAAAAATAACACAAATGATAATGGGACAAAAAAAGAAGCACACCGACCCCCCATTTTTATGGATGTTTTAGAAAAAGAAAAACATTTTCTTTAAATTCATTAAATATTAAAAAAAAGTTGAATACCAGAACTTTTGATATCAAGCGTTTAATCTGCAAAAAATGGTAAAAAATTAGTATTTTTTCATTAAAAAATAGGGGGTAGGGGTAACTAAAATCGGCTTTTTGAGTTAAAAGAATAAGATTAAGAAATTTTACTTCCATAATTTAAAAGAAAATAATATTTTTATCAATTCTACAAACATTTATACATATCTGATAACACACTTGAAAGAAATTGTATGAATTTGTTCCGCAAATGGTCAAAACCCAAAAAATCACCTAAAATCGCATGTTGTGTTAAATTGGTATCTTTGGCCGATAATAGCACAAAAACAAACACACCGACATACCGTTTTTTTGCATTTTCTACCATGCCATTAACTCCTTTTTCCAAAAATCCATATAAGAAAAAAAGTTGAATACAGGAATTTTTTGACTTCTCAGAGGTGTACATCCTTAAAAGAAGCATGCTTAACAATAACTATTGTATTTATTGTTATAAAAGTAGCGATCTTTAAAGTTTCCATGTTATGACTTAGAAACTCTGTCCTCTTTGGGATGACCAGACCCTGATAGCATGGTTGTGTTGGTTTCTTTTTACACAACAATTGTATAAATAGTTATCCATCACTTTACTCTACATGTCAGTCCTGTATTACATTATAGACCATATCACTATACTATACCTGTCAGTCCTGTATCACTCTATACTATACCTGTCAGTCCTGTATTACACTATACTATACCTGTCAGTCCTGTATTACACTAGACTTCATCACTATTCTATATCTGTCAGTCTTGTATCACACTAGACTTCATCACTATACTATACCCGTCAGTCCTGTATTACATTATACTAGACCTGTCAGTCATGTATTACACTATACTATACCTGTAAGTCCTGTATCACTCTATACTACACCTGTCAGTCCTGTATTACACTATACTAT